CTCCACCTTTATCCAGGCCCAGCTCTACCTTTATCCAGGCCCAGCTCCACCTTTATCCAGGCCCAGCTCCACCTTTATCCAGGCCCAGCTCCACCTTTATCCAGGCCCAGCTCCACCTTTATCCAGGCCCAGCTCTACCTTTATCCAGGCCCAGCTCTACCTTTATCCAGGCCCAGCTCCATCACAGCTCAGCTCTGCGTCAAGCTGCGCTACACAACCAGCCTCCTCCCCCTGAAGCTCTTTGACCTCATCATCTCATCAGTATCTGGACCTCATCATCTCATCAGTATCTGGACCTCATCACCTCATCAGTATCTGGACCTCATCATCTCATCAGTATCTGGACCTCATCACCTCATCAGTATCTGGGCCTCATGTTTCGTGGTCATGAAAGTTATTCTGACCACGAAATCATCCTCATTCTACTTTGAGTTAAAACAAACGACCTGCAACCAGATGTGCCGGTGTTCTGGTTTAACGTGAACTGAACCGGAACACGGGGGGGCTGCATGTTTCATCACGTTACGTTTTTTCCTCTTAAATCGCGATAATGACGAACGTTAACAGTCGACAAAGTTCCGCATGCAGTGGACGTTAACTTAACCCAGCAAGTCTGAACGGTAACGGAACATAACGTAACTCAAACTGTAACGGGGGGAAATGAAGACGCTGTAGACATCTGAACGCTGATAGACCAGGACTCGACACGTCAGAGATGTTCTATTGTGAAGATCACGACATCACATATTCTCCTCGTCTCACTCCAATCTGAGAAACGCTGGCTGGCCAGTTGACCCCCCCCAAAAAAAACCTCTACGGATCTACACGATTCACGTGGATGATATATTTTGATTCAAAACGGCAAATTTCGCCGAAAAGCCACAAGTTTGCAGGTAGAGGGGCGCGCCCTACAGTTTGAGAACCACTGCTTTAGATGAACCGACCAATCACAGCCTGGGGGGGGGCGGGACATTCAGAAAAAACGTGCGACAGCAAAATTTGGAAAAGTAGAAGTCGCTAATCTGCATGATATGATTATAGACAAGTTATTATTCATTATTAACAAACTAGAAACTAACCACCGTTCTTCTTGCACAAATAACGAAACCTACAGGAAGTAGAACTGTGTGTTGTTTCTTGAACTACGCAGCGATGTCATAATAAGGTACTGATGACCGATGCAGGCTGCAGAGGTCAGCTGCAGAGGGAGTGATGCTCGGTTCACTGTTTGTGTGTGAGAAGCAACATGGCGTCCTCTCTGCTGAGGTGCTGCATCACTAAATCAAAGATTCATCTCAAGCACACAAAGAGGAGCTTTTCTCTCTTTGTGACGATTCGCTTCGTCGCCTCATTTTCCGTCCGGCCGCCTTTTAATCGGCAGAATCTGCAGCTTCATGAAATGGATTTATGAAAACAATGGAGGACGTGGGAGCTGAGAGAGACAGAAGCCTGCAGGGAGCACCAGAAGCTTCTGAACGGAGCCACAACTTATGCAAGTGGTGCTGCTGGAAGCCACGAGTCTAAATCTAAGTCTTCATCACACTCCCTTCTTACCTGTAGAGTAAAAGGTGAGGAAGACGAGGAGCAGGCCGGACACCAGGTTCCCCAGGAAGGTGACCACTCCACAGGTGATGCCTTCAGGGACCGGGTACACGGTCTCGATGAGGAGCTCGAAGAATATGGGCACGCTGCTGTAGATGAAGATGCCCACCAGGATGCAGGACGTGTACAGGATGGCTGGATGAAGAGCAGATCAATACGTTTAAGAGAGGACAGCATGCTGGTGAACTCTACGTGATCTAGGACTCAAACATTTCATCTATCACCACATTTATGTAAACCATAGCTTTAAAGTGGAACACAAAACAGCAGCAAAGCAAGTTACTGTACAGATTCTATTCACCTAAAAACTGAACATTTTCACTGCTTTAACTCTCCGCCAAGACGAGTGAGTTCAGATCCACTGAAGTCTCAACGACTCAGACACAGTAAGAGATGGAGCAGCAGCTCCTGGTGTGTTTGTAGAGATCAGAGAGAACAGCTTCAGTTCCTCATCATGAAGGAAAAGAGGTGAAAACATTCTAAATATCGCGTTCACTTAAACTGATTCTGTTAGGAGTCCAACATACGTCCACATCTGAACATCACTGGAGTAACACACTGACTGGAGAAGAAGCTCATGCAAACACACGTCCGCTCCTTAAGGTTGAGATTTGTGAAACAAAACCAACATTCTGCTTCTTCACGAGCAATCAACACATCTCATGACTCCATGAGGACGACTCTCCTCCAGTCCATCGGGTGTCACAGCAGTCTTCAGCTCAAAGAAGACATAAATGCATCGCTGTGTTTAGTTTAGTTGCATGCTCAGCATTACCACGCAACTCATCTCATGGATTCCACAGGTGGAGGAACAGAGTGTGTCTGCTGCAGACTGCCAGAGTCTGAGAGGAGGTGAGACAGGCAGAGATGATGATGAAGGATGATGAAGGCTGGAATCAGTGTCTCTGAACGGCAACACGCTGCTCTGCTTATTGGTTTGGCTTTGGATCAAGCAGCTCGGTCCACTAACGTCCAAATGGGTTCATCACTGAGGTCTAATGGATTGGTTCTGCTCATTATGAAGCACATACATCGCTGTGTGGAAGGATTCTTTTGGTTTTTTACTGTGTTGGCTCTGAAACAGCAGCTACGTGGTTTAATGGACATTTTAAAAGCTTTCAGGGAGTTTTCATCCAAACTGGTGAACGGTCTTCAATACAAAGTCCACCAGTCTGAGGACAAAGCGGCAGCTCAACCAGCAGAAAGACTGACAGGAAGGAACAACGGGACATGTTCTCCAGAGTCCAAGATACTCAACTTAAATATAACAAGTATACCTGTATATTCAAGTAATACTCTGAACCTAAATATAGATTTAAATACTCAAAACTTAAATATTTATTTGAAAAGAGTTGAAATAACAGAGTTGAAAAAGGAAATGAATATAATTCATTGTGAAGCCACAGATGTCTGCTTCACACTCACTGAACGCATCGCATGACGGGAGTCAAACAGTGACGTGTGACGTGTGGTTCATTAATTCAACAATAAGCGTAGTCGAGCAGAGAAACCGACGTTACGTTAGCTCATGTAAACAAACCAGGAACCGATCAGCTGTGAGCTCCAGATCACACAAACAGAAGGTCGAGTTGCGCTGCATGTCTTCTGACGTAACAGAAAACAAAAGTGTGATCAGAGATCTCTAAAAGTTATATTTGCTTCCTTTTATATTTGGTGCTGATCCGATCTGAACCGTGAGATTAATCTCTAATGAGAAGGACTTCAGATCCAACAGAGTTCACCTGATGAACCCTCTCAGATGAACACTGAACGTCGGCTCTTTAACCTAATCATCGTGGTTCATGTCACAATAAACTGCACTGTATGAACTGAATCCTTGTATGCGTCTCATTAACATGAGAAACAGCCCTAAACACCCCCCTGACTCTGGTTCCGGTCTCTGGACCGCCTCGTGTTCATGGACCCACCTGCGGTGGAGGGGAGATGGGTGAAGGAGCTCAGACAGGTGAGCGTGAACCAGGTGGAGGACAGCGAGGCTCCCGCCAGCATCAGCACCAGGATCAGCTTCAGCATCCCCCGAATGGAGTCCGCAAACCTGTTTGGGAGGAAAACAACAACAGCAACAGTGAAACCGATCCACCTTCAGAGACCTTAAGACAAGAACATCCGTCATGAACACAAAGAGCGGCTCTACGCGGTGACTCAATGTCTGCTGGTGTCGTCGTCTGTTAGAGGAGACACGCATTGTTTCTAGCAGCCCGGATCCTTCTCCTTGTTTCTTTCCACTTGTCATTACACGAGCAGAGACACTTGATTCAATTTGTTTCACCAGCTTAGCGAGGCGGACTTGAAATGCACATTATAATATATTGTGGAAGACAAGCCACCGGGCCGATTCCCAGACTCTCTGTCTCTCTGGAGGATTGCTGCTTCTCCTTTGTAGCCCTCATAGTTCATTACCTCCTCTCCTCACGGTGTGTGTGCACGCGTGTGTGTGTGCGCGTGTGCTTGCTGGTGTAGAGATTAGATGCAGCTACAGAAGGAGCCCCCGTAGCAGAGAGACAGACACTAATTACTTTTGTTTGGTTGCTCACAGACGAGACGCTCCGGAGGTAAAACGAGGGCTGAACTTGACAGCGAAGTTAACGGCAGAATAAAAAGAAGAAGTGTTGGAAGTGGCTGATTAGTTCAGCTAGGTGGTGAAGTTCTGTCAGTGAGCGGAGGACCAAGGGGGGGGGTTGATGAGAACGTCTCCGCTCAGAGCGCTGCAGCGTGGCGTTTGTAGATGACATCCATGTCTCTTTGGATTTCAGGAGCGGTCATTCTGAATTCTACCTCTAGACCACAGACTGTTTATAGGAAGAGGACGTAGTCGCCGTGACGTCTCTCGTTGGTTTGTGGACGTTTTGAAGCCTCCAGTTCGGCATTTTGGTAGTCGCCATCTTGTTTTTTTGCAACCAGTGAACACGAAGTGAGCATATCTGGACTGAGGAGGAGTGACGTAGAGACGCCGTA